ACTTATATAATTTATTAAATACCGTGTGATTTGGTAAATACTTTAAGAAATATATACCAAATATAGATCCTAAACATTAATGTTTCTTCAAAATCAATACAGAATTCAAAAAAGCAGAATGGGCAAATGGTATCTCGGGATGGTCTATGGAGATAACCATCTTCTCTTTGTTTTCTTCTTTATCTATCCATCAAGAAGAAGGCTCTGTTGCGGAAACGTATAATCTGTGATTGACCTCCAGTTTGCAAGCCAATTCATTTCTCTTAAGCATTTGATCAAAAACCTTGTGGGCTTTTTCAACGTACCCAATATAGTAGTACAACCTAAGAAACCTAGATGAAATGCTTACATTTAAAAAAAATAATTAAAAAAATGGAATGAGTTTATGAATCAATGATCAATGGCTTTCAAATGAGAGCAGGTTTCTAAAAGTGAAGCAAATATCATTGATTTTGACGCCATTTTTGACGAAGGCTTCTATTTTGTTAATGACGATTTCAAGGGCTTCAAGTTTTACATTTGAATGGATATTTCGGCTGGTTAGAAGTGGCATTTGGGATGATTGGGGAAATTGGGGTTTTGGCTTTGTCTTTTGATTTTATTTTATTTTTTCTCGTGGTGTTCTTGTTTAAAGAAGAGTGGAGGGTGTATGGATATTTGATTTCTTGTTTTGTTTTCTTTTGGGAAATATGGTTTCACGATACAAAATCTCTAATCCCATTTTGTGTTGACTTGATTGCAATTCATGTTGGCATATGGATATTTGCTATTCAAATGAAATGTAATTCGTATTTTTTCTAGATGACAGCGTAATGTAATCTCATTTGTAGAAAATATTCAGATCTACGTCTTTCCAGGTTCTAAGAACTACTACAAAAATTATTTTTTCTCAACATTTATTTTTTCGCAACGTTTTTTGACCTTTTACAACGTTCGTATATATGTTGCGGGCTTCAGTGTTGCCGTAGAGTAAAACGATACGGCAACGTTTATCCACCGTTGCAAAAGGACAAATCCAAACGATATCATTTAGTTTTTGCAACGTTTAAAAACGTTGTGGAAAGTAATTTGCAACGTTTATTATACGTTGTCGAAATTTTTGTGTCCATTTTTCGCAACGTTTCAAAAATGTTGTTATTAATATTTTTGGAAAGTGCCTTTAACGTATTTGCAACGTTTTTCTGAGTGTTGTCTTAACGTATTAGCAATGTTTTGTTGAGTGTTATTGTTACTTCTATTTTCAACTTTTCGTAACGTTTTTTAAATGTTGTCGTTCATCTTTTGCAACATTTTTTTGAATGTTATCTTAACCTATTTGTAAATTGTGTTCACAATTTTGCAACATTAAGCGAACGTTGCGGAAGATTATATATTTAATTATCAACAACAATCAATAAACACTGCTATAGAACGAATTTTTAGCAACACCCGATAAACGTTGTAATAAATAAAACTTTTGACAACACTCAATAAACGTTGCAAAATGCGATATTAGCAACATTCATTTAAAAAATGTTGTCAAATCTCAATTATGTTAACCAATTGTAATATTTACTTATTAGAATATTGCGATAGACACTTTTAACAACACTCAATTACCGAATGTTGCATTTTACATGTTGCAAATGGTGATTTTTGTTTTAGTGAAATTTGTGTTTGATTTGTGTTATTCAACTTCAAAATTACTACACCATTGATCATTTGATGTGTCTGTGTTAGTGATATACGTTTTGTGAATTTTATATTTCATATAAGGTTCTATATAAAAGCATGAATTTGGTAATATGCACAGTAAGAATAATGATGAATCATTAAATATATATTACTCCAATCCACAATCAAAATTCTATGAGAATCCAATATCGTCTAAGAACAAGTGCGGATTTAAAATTTCCAACAACTTTACTTTATCCAAAGATATAAAGTAAAACTAGGAGCTCAGTATACCTATGTTATTTCGAAATGTTTGATTCTACAACGGGGCAATATATTTCATGGATTGCATTTTGGGATATGCTGTTAGATTCAAAATGAATTCAGTTGTTACCTATAAAACAATTATATACACTTCCCACGAAACTTTACAAGGTCAAGAATTATGAAGAGAAGTCACTTGTTTAAACTCAAGGAGTATGAATCAAAAAATTCAAAGCATTATGAATCGAAATCACTTGTAAAAGAATTGGCGTGTCATGATGATTTTAGATTTCTTGAGAAGATTCTAGATGGAGAAAATTAGGAATGAATATAAAGAGACGTAAGGATTTGGTACTAAATTTGTCTAGTTAATGGTGTGTTTGTTAGGTCTTAAATTAAACGCGTGTTTATTGGATCATAATTTAAGGGCACATTCTAGCATCGTAAATGATAGTTGTATTATTTGACTAACTTTTAACATTTCTATTTTACTACAAAAAAAAATAGTATTTGTAGTTAAGGAAAAAAAAAAGTTGAAAAGTATAATCTTAAATATTATTTAAAAATAGGTATGTGGGTTCAATCTACATATTTATTTAAAAATATAATCTAAATGGTTCAATCTACATTATCAATTGGGTCAATNTTTTTTAGTACAATATCCGTACATCGCACGGGTGACACACTAGTGAATATAAAGAGACGTAAGGATTTGGTACTAAATTTGTTTAGTTAATGGTGTGTTTGTTAGGTCTTAAATTAATCGCGTGTTTATTGGATCATAATTTAAGGGCACATTCTAGCATCGTAAATGATAGTTGTATTATTTGACTAACTTTTAACATTTCTATTTTACTACAAAAAAAAATAGTATTTGTAGTTAAGAAAAAAAAAGTTGAAAAGTATAATCTTAAATATTATTTAAAAATAGGTATGTGGGTTCAATCTACATATTTATTTAAAAATATAATCTAAATGGTTCAATCTACATTATCAATTGGGTCAATCGTACAGCGTCAAAAGTGCATTTGTTTCAATTTTTTTTTTTAACAGAATGCTTCCTGGACTGGATGACGACTAACCATATGAATTAAGAATTATCAGTCTTATTGCCTAAGCATTTCAAGCAGTTATGCTATTCAATTCTCACAGAGAACAGACGGTCAGTCCATTATGGATTTTAATAATACTGATACATTTCAATCCTCTCAAGGAAATTTAAAAAGTTCAATACTGAGTAGAAAACTGTAAATCTTGTTTCTAAACAATCATTTAGGAGATGAGGAGAAGTCAGTCTGGTTCGCTTCTGGTCCGTCCTTTAAGGACACTAGCTTTAAATACACCCTAAATAAATTGAGCGCGCTTGCTCAACATTAACACTTTAAAATTTAGAGGACAGGAATACCGTTCACGGCAGTAAACATCTGGAACTCTTCGAGCCACAATCTTTAGAAACATTTTTTTTTTTCTAATTATGTTGAATTTTCTAGCAAAGACGTACTTGGTCAACTGGAGACAGCAAAGAAACTTCTTGAATAACCAAGGGAGAAATGGAACTCCTACTTCGGTATCATTGGCCCCAAATGCATGCCCTATAACAAAAGCAGATGAGTTTTATATCAACGTCCCATGAGAAAGCGAACAAAAACCATAAGTTAGTTACCGTAAAAACATTATGTTATACAGAATAAAAGCTATGATTTAGAGAAACGTGAATAATTTATATTCAAGACAAGGAAAAACGATACAGAATGAGAAAGATAAAAACAATGACGAGCTAACATACAGCAGAAAGCAAGGGTAAGAATTATCACAACAAAAAGGTCAAAAGGCTTAAATCAGTGTAATCACTCATCAATTCTATACATAAGAAGACACTTGTGTGAATCCCATAACAAATATCAAGTTCTGATCTGCAGAAGAATACAAGACTCTTGTGGAATGTGGATCATATTTGTTATCCAGGATCTTTGTGCGAGACTGCTAGTATACTTCACCACATCCATTTCTCAAGACAACTTCACTAGCATGTAGTACTAGAATATAAGCCCCATTTGTCTACCATTCTCCAAAAACACTTTTTTTTCTAAAACTCATTTTCAACCGTACGTTCTCATAATAAAATATTTTGCAAATAAACCCAAAACTATTAGCATATTATTTACTTACAGCTAAGTAGGTAGTTTCCTTGTAAATAATAATTAGTTTCCATGTATATTTTGTATCCT